AAATAAAAGTTGATTGAGTGATTGATTAGATTGATTGGATTGATTGACTGATATCCTAATCTTCCCAGTTTCACCTGTACTTGTCTTTATTTAACAGCATAAAAGATACTGAAGAGCAAGTTAACTGAGAAATAACTTTTCACTTATATTAGAAAATGATCGGTCACCAAGTTTAACATGCAGGCTAAATGTGAAAATAGTCTTCTACCCCTACTTCCTACATTAGCAATGAATAGAAAATGCTTGTCTCAGAAAGCCCAGCAGATTTACATGATGCTGTCATTTAAAATTCATGGACTCATCCATCTTGGCTCACGACGGTTGTTGGTTTTGGTTCCAGGAAACAGCAAAGAGCATCTCAGCTAGTAGAAGCTAACGGTTAGCATTAGCAAGTCCACCACATAACAGAACTCCTCTGGGCTTGTGTTATTTGTGGAGATAAAACATCAACTTTGCTCTGCAATATTTTATCAATATCAGGAAATAAGACGATATCCTGCCATGTTGTGCCCCTTTCTCCTCCAATGTGACTTCTGCCCCTCAACAGGCGCACCGCAGCTTTTATTCCCCAAAGAACGACTTCAAAGGCATTTCTTCCCACTAGCGACCACTGCAAATGTATCAGAAAGACATTTTGACACCTGTACCTTTATCTTGAAAAAACACTTATTTGGAAAGACAACATTGTTTATTTGTGGACACACTGATCATGTAAAAAGGAAGTGAATTAAAAGAAAAGAAATACAAATAATCACAGTGTTGACCAAACAAAGTGAACATAAATAAGCATTCAATCATAGCACTGTTGCTGTATACATGAGGCTATGTAATAAACAAATCTGAGCATTCATGGTTTAAACACAGGAGTCATAAATACAAGAGCTCGGCTTTCTTATCACCGGTAAAAACCTAAAACTTCCTCCATTCCCTTAAAACATCCATATTCATCAAACAACAACTTGCATTCTTGATTCTTAGCAACACCAAACCATCTTCAAATACCAAGTTACATTTCTATTTTAACAACTGTCCCTGCTTTAGCTCATTTTACCTGTGATTTAATATTTCTCTGTATGTTTTCTGAACTAAAACTGAAACAATACTGCAGCACACTGGCAACTTTTTAATAATCTGTCATTTAACTTCTGTTGCAGCTTTGTGAGGATTTTGAGAAATCAGAATAAAACTGAAAATGTCTGAGTGTTTTTCATAATAAATCATTTTTTTAACCAAAGACAAGAGCTGCTATAAAAAAAACTGCAATCCCAGGAGCTTAAAGTAGGTTTAAATTTCAAGACTGCAGCCGAAAACAGTTTGATTTTATAGAAACTGGATCTGTTTTTAACCCTTTTGGGTCGATTTCTGTTACAATACTGGATGTCTACACAAGCAAGATTCACAAGCAACAACTCTGTCTTGCATACAACACAGTCACTGGCACAAACTCACTATCAGCTAACACCTTCTAAAAACTAACAACTAGCTGGATTTTCCTATTTCCCTTTTGGAGAACGATCTGCTCCAAGAATAAAAGACATGTTGAGAGGAAAAATAAACACCATCCTTGAGTCGTCTCTGTGGTAGCAGGTCCGTCACAGCCGGCTGCAGTGGAAGCTGCCTCGCCTGTGGGCGCCCAACAGGAGCAGCCGTCAAAGCAAAGATGTGAATGACACGAGGAAGAGTTGAATTTACAGGCAGAGAGAAAAAGCAGCTCGGCTGTAATTTACAGGAGATGCTGACCCTCGTTTCAAGCCGCCTTCCTGACCATCTTCCATCATCAGCACAATAACTCCCACAACAACCACACCCACTGAAACAGATGTAAGATTAAATTACGTCTTTGCTTTGTCCTTCGATTTACTGGCTCTGCTTTTATCCAGTCTAATTTTAAACACGGGTTTTAGATGAAATTCAGCTAAACTTATTTGAGTATTGAGATGCATTAAGGTTTCTATACTTGTTTTTTAGGTTAAATCAGTGTTTATCTACCAGATTTTCCTTCTTTTTTTGTTATTTTTATTAATTATTACTGTCAGAGACGCTTCTCTGTTGGTTGGTTTTCTGCAGATGGTGCAACTGCTTCAATAAGGCACTGTCACTAGTGTCTACACTCACCAGGCCTTTTCTTTCTTTTCTCAGGCTCAGAGGCTCAACTTCATCATAACATGTACTTCTTTGTAAAAGCGCCATCATTACACTCCTTACATAAAAAAGATGGAAGGATAATGGTTAGTTTAGGAGAGATTGATCTAAAAAAGATGCAAGTGACAACATTACTGAATGCAGCAGTGTCAGAAGACAAGATAGGTGTTGCCTGGAAGGATGGACGTCCTTCTCCTGCCTGGACGTTACACATACTCACAGATGTTATAACTATAGATACCCACTCGGCTCGTCCAGCCTTCTTGATGTTTGCATAGGGTATGTGGCGTATTTACAACAATGATGACTTTTTCACATGTCTAAAAACCCCACCCTTCATCTCCGGCACTTTCATAGGTTATGTTTGAACTGGCCTCTCACAATAAATGTCCATATACAATTTTAAATGAAGAACAAATGCACTAATAATCAGCGCACTCTCTCCTGTCATCCTCTCTGCTGTGTTTCTTCCCCATGCAGTCTGTGATTGGGAAACTGGAAAGTGCTGACTCTGCATTTTAACAGCCCCCCTCCTCCTCCTCTTCCTTCAGGAGTTAAATGTCAGTCAAAATGTTCTGCAGTGGCTTCTGGGAAGCAGAAGGAGGAGGAGCTGCTGCAGAGGCTCCACTATAGTGGAAGATTTTGAAGGTGAGAGTCAGAAAATAACCGAGTCACCCTCACAGTTTTTTGATTTTGATTATCAATGTTTGCAGGTCATGATTGGACAGGATGCTGGAAGAACGGCTTGGGCTGGAGCCGCCCACCCCATGCAGCTAGTGGGTCTTAGTGATGGATGTCTCCACATCTGTTTCAGGTGACGCCAAGGGTGGGACTTTAGGAACTGGAGAATGATCCTCTTTAGGGGTGGGGCTTTTTTCCTTGGGGGTGGGGCTCTTCTCTTTGGGGGCAGAGCTCCTCTCTTTGGGGGAGGGTTTTTTCTCCGCTGAGGCAGCAATGCTTGGTTTGACATCATCAGGCGTGTGCTCGTTGGGGATCAGAGGAGCTGTGGTTTTCTGTAGCAAATACAGCAACGTTAGTGGATGACAAAACCAGAAACCCAAATTCATCCCTTGCCCCTTAAGTTGTAGACATTTAAGGGAAGGACTGTTAAATACTTTTTGTTACACAAGAGGACAAAAATGCTGGGCTATCTAGCCTTTCAGGCTGAGATCATCCAAAACTATCTTAAAGCATTTTTAACATGTTTGGCTTCATTGTTATAGTCAAACATTAAGAAATTATGGAGTTGCCAAATAAGGTGGCGCGCTCACATACTAGTATACCTGAGTACACTGATGCATGCATCTGGAAAAATTTAAGTAAAAAAGAAATATTTTGGGTGTTATTTATTTAGAGAGTATTCCAGAGTTTGTATGAACATGATTTTATCATTTTATGGATTCTACCTGTCCCATGGTTACTTTCAAACAGGACAGAAAAAAATATTCACTCTTTTAGTTCACAAAGTCTAACTTTTTGAGAATATTGTACATTCAAACTGTTGGTACGTTTACTAACTATTCAGTTAACAAGCAGGAAATGAATTCTTTTGCTCATCATCTTATACATACACACTAATTCAACAATTAAAATAATATTAGCTCACTCTGAATTAATCAAAATGTTCTTAGAAAAATGCTGAATCTACCACAAGCACTGAGGTATTTGTACATTTTAACCCACTGGAAATGAGAAAATACCTTGATTTAGATTACAATAGAAGATCAGGCTCACAAGCAAAGTGAAGCTGAAATATTACAAATTAACTCACAGTTACCCTGAACAGAGGCAATAGAAGCCTGTTATTTCACAGCACCAACATTTACTTTTGCATACACTGTTTATTGTTTGGTCTGCATTCCTTACTTGGAATCCTGCAATCGCGCAGGTGTGTGTGTGTGTGTGTGTGTGTGTGTTTGTGCGTGCGTGCGTGTGTGTGTGTGTGTGCGTGTGTGTGTGTGTGTGTGTGTGTGTGCGCGCACTAACCGTGGTTTGTGGTACTGAATTGTTAAAGGAGAAGGGAGGTTCACTTCCTGCAGAGACAGGTGAATCCTCCTGCATCAGCCCGCGTCTGTCTAAGACACTGAAGGACAAGAGGAGACAATCGATCACTACATTTAAGTTGCTCATTGCTGAGCAGAAGACAAGTGAACTCTAAAATGTGATCTATCAAAGGTCTGATTCAGGATCCATGGCTAACAGCAAGAGAAGCATCAACAAAGCAGTTTTGCATCAACACAAAGGTAAACTGATCAGTTAGAAACTGCACAAGTGCTCACCTCGGGTATGTCGGCCCGCACAGAACCTCACAGCAGTTTTTGATTATGTTCTTGTGGCTATAAGGGTTCTGGACTCTGTTTTTTCCTGACCAGGACCCTTTAATCTGGACAAAACAAAAGGGAACACAACACTCATTAACAGGCCTTACGCCAAACCCGCCCAAAACATCCTGCTAAGTCACCCAGTTCATTCTGCTCATACTTTATTTAAAGAGCAAGTCACCCCTTACAAGAAGCTCCCACTTCACTCCCACTTCATGTTTGAAAAATGCAACAAATGCTGTTGCCTAGCAGACCAAGAGGGTGGAGCCTCTAACAAATACACACACTCACGACATTGTGACATCATAATGTACCAGTTTACATCATAGCATACCTCTTAGCCAATAGCGGTGGCAGATTTAAATTCAAATGCAGTGCAGAGTTTTTACCTGACAACGGCACAACACTGAGAGTTTCAGGCAGAAAATTTAAATTTTAACTAAAATGCATTAAAGTGCAAAACTATTGACTACACGTGTCTGCAGCACGATTAGACACGTATTTCTATAGTTTATCAGAAAAAAATAGTTGATTTGGGGGTGACTTGCTCTTTAAAAGCTTGTTTCCATTTTTAGATGTTTTCCAACAGGCTTGGGTTTGACCTACTAAAACTTATCTTGTCGGGATTTAATGATGCCTGATTTGATGGGAACTGGGTGCGCTGGCAGGGACGAACAAGGAGAGAACTGAAAGAATAAAACTGCTTTAGAAATCTATTAACAATTCTCAGGATCTAGCAAAAGGATTTACCCAAAATTAAAGGGATTTTAGAACACATTGCGGACACCTCGATTTTCTCCATTTCTTCTCAAATGCCTTTAAGAATAATTTTACTCTGAGTTAAGGTCATAAATAATAAGTAGAAACAGAATTTACATATCCTACAGGACGAATGCGCTAACAGCTAGTCCAAACACAGCTTTGATCTGTCTTCCTTTGCATTTGTGGGGTAACCGGAGGTCAAGTCAGGCAAAAGTTTTATATTTTGGTGCAACAACCATGCAAAACAAACGTTTTGCCTAGCTGTTAGCTCATCAGTCCAGAAGAGTATTGGGTGTTACGGTAGTGCCGTTACTTTTATCAGTAAACATTAATTTAATGAGGTACTTTTTAAAAAGGTAACACTGTTACCGTTACCCACCCATGTGTCTGTTTCCAACTGTCAGTGCCACCGGGACATTTTAGGACAAGGATGGAATCCAGATGCTTGCCTTCAAACCATAACATTTTGATGAGGGTAAACAAAGTAACAAAACAATGCAAGAAAATCAAGACTGAAATCCTGACTAATGACTGAATCTAGTAAAACATCTCTAACGTGAACTGAATGACCCTCCAACAAAACAAAAGCTTTGGTCTCTATGCTGAATATGTAGGTCATCAGCCTGCAGAAGGCATCTTAGCACTGCACTTCTCAGTAGGACTGACACTTGCATGAGTACCTATGAGAAGCCAGAGCAGCTACAACACTCACAGGACTGCACCCCCATTACTTCCCTATCTTACTGCTCTCCTATTTCTTTCTCACGTTTGCTACAACAGCCTAACCCTGCAGGTATCGATGCATCTATTAATAGGCTGATCAGAGACGCTGAAACGACTGTGGGCAACAAACACACTGAAGGTGTAAAGCAATGCCTTGTTCCAGATTAAATGAAAGCAAAAACGAGGTCAGCCATCTCACTGGAAAGAAGGGAACTATAAATTAATCATTATGACAAAAGTGCACACTTCTTTTGCTTCAGATGCTACTGGCTCAAAGCACCACTACCACCACCAGAGCTTGTGTAGTCAGATCTAAGCTTGTAAAGGTCTAAGTAATGTATACATGCATACATGGACAGCAGCTGTGTGTGTGTGTGTGTGTGTGTGTGTGTGTGTGTGTGTGTGTGTGTGTGTGTGTGTGTGTGTGTGTGTGTGTGTGTGTGTGTGTGTGTGTTCTGAAGCTTGTCACTAAATAATCTGAAAACATCAAATCCATTTTGTTTCCTCATGTCGGTCTCAGAAGCTTCTGAATGCAGCCGACACACTGAGAAACGAAAACCAGATGGACCGTTTGGATCGGTCAATGTTTTCAATAAGAACAGAAGCTTTTCATGTGTATTTTTAGATTATTAGATAGCATGTCTGAGATTTCTAAGTGCCGCTATTAGCTTTCTGCAGACAATAGTTAGTAATGTCTCAGACTGTAAGCAGAATTAAACTGCAGCCGGATTTTTATCTAAATAATTGAGATCAAAGAAAACACGAGAACAGTAACACAGTAATTATTTTAGGGAATATGTGGTTCTTGTAATTTTTACCACTCCATTCCCTTCAGTTTACAACAGCCTTGTTTAACAAGCCACATCTTTGTGTCCTTCAGTGCTAATGAAGACAGCACTGTTGTCACAGTAACCGATCTGTGGTCAAAGGAAAAGCAGCATTTGTGTGCGTTTGTCTTTCCAGCGACATGAAGCCAAGGTTTTTGATTGGTACATTTAAATCCTTATCTAGTTAACTTTCACAAAAACAAGACTATAACTTCAACACATCTACGTCTTTAACTTTTGAACTGTTAACGTACAGAAGGATGATTTGATTTCTGCCATTAAGCAGTTTGGTTCCATCTGTATAGTTTCATTAAGACAGACGGGAACTTTGTGTTGTTGAAAATTTCAAAAGCTAAGAAGTCACTACTCCTAAATGGATGAATAGTAGTAGTTGTAGCCTTTATTGCAGACTCACGGTCCAAAAAATGCATAGAAAAATATACAAAGGTGACTTTAAAAAGAAAACAACAAACTCATTCAAAGAAGAACAGTATCCTACAAGAGACAATCATACCAGTGCTTCCATAAATCAGCGGTGTAGCGTACAGCACTATATCTGGTATTAGAGTTAGGATGACACTGTTCTTAGACATATTAAGACTGCATATAAATGTATACATAAAATTTCTTAAAACAGCTTTCAATGTGCTGACCCCAGCAGAAACAAACAGTTCACTAGCACTAGTCCATGTGGGCTTTTTACCAGAAGTCTTAATGCATCGTTGTAAGCCACCTGCAGTCTCTGGATACTAGCTGTTTTATAGTTCCACCATAAATGTGCTGTGTACAATGAGGTACAGTAAGCTCTAAACAAGTTAAGTTTGACGTTAACAGAACAATATCCAAATTTACGACACAGTACATTAGCTTGTGCATTTAACATTCGGCACTGACGATAAATGTCCTCATCATCTGACAGGTTGTCTGTCAACATATGACCCAGATATTTCACTTCATTTGAAACACTTAAAATAGAGCCAGATAGCATGAAGTCAGGAAATCTGATCCATTTGTCCTCTTTAGTTCGACCGATCATTATTATACTTTTTGCAGGATTAAATTCAACATCATGCTGTTCACCAGACTCAGGGCACACATTAAGAAGCTCCTGAAGACCAGCTGAACTTGGGCTAAATACCACTATGTCATCAGCATACATCAGATGATTTATTACTGTACCTCCTGCCATACAGCCAGTTCTACACTGAATTAACTGTTTAGACAGATCGTTCATAAGAAAATTAAACAATGTCGGTGCTAGGATGCTCCCTTGTCTTACTCCGTAACAGACCTGAAAAGGTGCAGATACACAGTTGGCCCACTTGACCCGCACGGTCTGGTTTGTATACCAATATGACAAACATCTAACTATGTACTTAGGCACACCAGCTTTCCACAGTTTATAAAATAATTTTCTGTGGTTCACACAATCGAAAGCCTTGGAGGCATCTAAAAACACATAAAAACAGTTGAATTTTTGTTTTGGTAGCTACTTGATAGCTCCTTTAGAGCACATATGCACATGCCAGTGCCATGTTTAGGCTTAAATCCAAATTGGTTGTCAGTACACTGTATCAATTTGTCCAATCTTGTCAGTAGTATTTGTTCAAAAACTTTAGAAAGAATGCTTGCAAGAGCAATGGGCCTGTAATTATCTGAGCTGCCCACTTTCCCTGATTTGTTCTTCAGCACAGGAACCAAAAGAACGTTCATCATGGAGCCTGGAATAAAACCATGAAACATAAAGGCAGTGAAGTATAAGGCAAGACGGGGGGCTAACCTCAAACTTGCAAATTTAAGATGTTCAGCAGAGATCAGATCCAATCCTGTAGTCTTGCCTACAAACACATTTTTAATTGCTTGATGAACCTCCTGAGTGTCAATATAGTATTTACATCAACATTATCAACCTGGAAAGGTTCACTTGGCACACAAGTAAACAGTTTACTGTAGTGCTGTTGCCAGAGCTCTGCAATCATATCTGACCCAGAGACACCATCTACCTTACAGGGGAGTGAGGGTTTACAGTTATTAACCATTTTTATCTTTTTCCAAAATGCTTTGTTATCCTTGCCTAAGAGTTTCTTAGCCATGGAATCTTCCCTCATTTTTTGCTCATTCTTCTTAATGAATCTTATAGCATATTTCTAGGAGCTATTTCAACCAAGGTTATTTAATCTTTTCCACAGTCCCTTTGATGCAGTGCCAGAGTGCATGAAACAGCCTCAAGGTCATGCATTCACTTCTAAACTGTTTACATTCCAGCAATGAAGACAGAAAATGAAGACTGCTTTCTTTTCTTTTATTAAAAGCCAAAGAACTCTATTTTCAATAAAGCTAATCAAAACAACTGTTAGTCAATAATAACCATGTGACCGATCTGTGCAATCACAATATTATGATTAATATGTTTTAATAAGTAAATGACTTATTCTAGTCACTAGACATGCTGATTCATTAAGGTAAATAATCACATGACACATTGCTGTTGCTGACCCAATCAGAATCTTCCCTGTCTGAAGCATGGCAAGTCTCTGTGGTGTTTATTTAATCTGTCAGCTTTGATTCGTACAGAATCATAAACATCCAGATTAATAAAACAGTCCAACGCCAATTTCAAGTTCAGTATTCAACAAGATCTCAAGATCCCCTGAAGTTCACCGCATGCTAAGTGGAGTATGGCAAGGCCATCCATACTCTTCTTTTTAAGCCAAGAACTGCCAAGCTAGGAACACCTGTCATTATCAGCAAACAATGGTTCCTTCAGAATA